AAAAAATATTAATGCAGTATTTTAGTTTAATATAGAGTCTAGGCCTTCAGAAAAAAAATATTTTTTGAAGAAAATGAGCACCATCTGGTTACAGTATAGAGAAAAAGCGTAGAATCATGGTGTAACCACTAGATGGCATGTACAGCTCTCTATGGAGAGGCATGTGAATTCCCCAGCTGTTTATGAACACATTTTTTGTTGTTGTTGTTGGTGGATTTGAATATATAGTTGAAACAATCTCAAAAACTATTTCTTATTAAAAAAAATGACAAACAAATATTCACAATTTATTTTTTAATTTTTTTACAATTTCCCATTCATTTCCTATGGGGTCATTTTTGACCAAAGACCACAAGTGTGACTATTTTTTTACGACCACTTAGCATGCTCAGATCATGACTTCAATTTTTTTGTGTGTTCACATACATAATGCCATAAAAGTCACCAAGTTTCGTAACATCGCAATGAAGCTGTGATTTTTAAAAATTCAAAACATACTTTTTGTAATCAAAATTTATTGGTGTGTATGTGTATAAAAGTGTGTTTTTATGTGTGTGTGTGTTGGTGGGTGTGTCTGTTTTGCACTCTAGATGTTGTAGAGTGTCACCCCTTTCCTGCGGTGTACTTTTTTTTTAGAATAATGGCCGATTTGTAGATTGTACATACAAAAATTCAGAGAATTATAATTTTTTTTGTCAATTTCCCATTCATTTCCTATGGGTCGGTCATTTTTGACAGAAGAGCAAAAGTGTGACTCATTTTTTTACGACCACTTAAATTGCTCGAATCATGACCTCATTTTTTTGTGTACCCAATGCCATAAAAGTCACCAAGTTTCGTAATTTTCTGAAGAAGCTGTGATTTTTAAATATTCAAAACAGATTTCTTTAATCACAATTTATTGGTGTTTTTGTGTATAAAAGTGTGTGTGTCTGTTTTGCACTCTTGATGTTTTAGAGTGTCACCCCTTCAATGCAGAGCACTTTTTTTTCTGCATCGTGGCCGATTTGTAGATTGTACACACAAAAATTCTCAAAGTTTTTGTGTTTTTGTCAATTTCCCATTCATTTCCTATGGTCGGTTATTTTTGACCGAAGAGCACAAGTGTGACCATTTTTTTTACGACCATTTAGCATGCTCGGATCATGACCTCAATTTTTTTTTGTGTTCACATACCCAATGCCATAAAAGTCACCAAGTTTCGTAACGTTCCGATGAAGCTGTGATTTTTTAAATTTCAAAACAGAAAATTTTTCTGACCGAAGAGCACCTGAGGGTTAAGAAGTGTGTTCCAACTACAGGGGGATCACACTTCTCAGCCTCCCAGGGAAAGTCTATGCCAGAGTACTGGAGAGGAGAATACGGCCGATAGTGGAACCTCGGATTCAGGAGGAACCGTGTGGTTTTGCTAAGGGCTGTTCGGTCCCTGTATGACCGAAGCAGAGTAGATGACCTCTGATACTACGCATGATATAGGATGTAGGAGTAGCGTAATCTCAGGTAAGAGTATATGACCTCTGACCCAATGCATGATGTAGGATGTAGCGTAAACCCATTACTGCATTAAATTATTAAAGGGAAAACAAATGTAAATAATAAATCAACTCCATAGCTGATTCCTCATGATCAGGGCGGGTCTTAGCACGTTCCAGTTCAGCCCATTGCAGTTTCCGCTAGTAGTGGGCACTCGTAAAACGTAAGCAATGACGTACATCCGAGTAAACGAGACGGAGGGAAGTTAGCGAGTGAAGGGCATGACAATTTTGCTCTAATCTCTTTGGTTACTCGTTCGTCAGTCCGTCATGTGTCGGTTTAGAGGTCACTCTTTCGCTGGAATTTTTATACATCCATTTCATGAAGGATTTATGTGCTTTTTTGGGTTTACTCACATTTGTTTTAATGTTAATGCTTGCTTCAGAGAACATTCAAAAGAAACATTCCCATTTTGTTTGGAAAATGACAAAAGGAAATGTTTCCTCAGAAAAATATTTAAAACACTGGATGGTCATTTAACCAAACATGTCATTAGTTGGGCTTCTTTTCACTATATTTTGCATTTGGCAGCTGAAGGGTCATTAGTTGTCAGGGAAAGTTCATCTGTTAACATTAGCTAGACACGGGTTGGGTGTCATAAAAATGGAAATCTCTGCTGTCACTCTTTTGAATGTTATTTTCAATGTAAAATATGCATGTCTGCAGACGCTTGATGTAAAAACAGAGCAGCACAGGCTTTACAAAGTGGACGGATCCCACACAACCTTTCTTGTCTCTGAAAAGAGCAGTTCAGTGTTCATTTGTTGGCGTTTCATCATGATTAGGACTGATTTGATCTTTGTGCTGTTGGCAGGTGAGTTTATGATATTGAATCTGTATCTTAAACGAGTATGAATATGATTGTCAAGAAATTAAATAATGGGTTATGCAGGGATTCCCAAATTGTTTTTGTTAGATTAACCATTTTGACTTAAAAAAATTTAAATCAAGCCTTGTGTTGTGTAAATTCTAAACAACATAACCCCATTGTAAAAAAAAACGCAATGACCGCAAACATTTAGGCAAGATAAATTTTGTTTTTGGCAAAAGAAATTCAGGCCCGAAAGACTTTTTTTTTTTCCTGTCCTGGACTCGGTCTTGACTCGAACCTTTTTGGACTCGGTCTTGACTACAGCCCTACTAGAAATATGACGAGACAGACACGACATTGTTGGAACTGAAACGCAGTTAGAACCTGTACAACAGTGATTGAAGTCTTCTTGAGGAAAGAAATAAGGATGGATTTTGTGTAAAAAATAATCGGTAGTTTTGGTGAGTATAATGATTTTTCCCCGTGGTGAATATGATTTTTTTCTTAATGTTTCTTATAAATTTATAATCGAAACTTAATTTTTTTTCAAACATTCATACTATTGTAATGTCTGAAACCCTTGAACGACAAGATAAGGAACTTATAATCGGATTCGGAACGCAAGAACCACTGTACAAACGCATCAGCCGAACTCGTTTCTCTCTACCGGACTTTCCCGAACTCACCGCATTAACCCAATAACTGCCAGTGCAAAATAAAAAACAACAATTATAGAGAGTCTTTGTGCTGATACACTATTAAAAGTTCTTAATTCAGGTATAATCAGAAGGTAGGTGTGAAATGCACAGATAAAAACACTGCATAGTCTTCACTGTGTAAATCAATTATACATTTATTCTTGTTAAAGAGAGCTGTGAGAGATTTTCTCTCTTGTTCGGTGTTTGATTAACATTAATAACGACAGCGGGTTTATTAGGCTGCTGTCACTTTAACCTCCTAAGACCCGAGTTTTGGGTGGAAAAGTCCAGGGGTCAGAAAGTAAAAGTACTGCCACATTTTTATTCCACCCACAGCAAAAACTCCAGTGTTAAATGAACTTTACTGGGAGTTTCTTTGGATCCAGACTCAAGAGTGTTAAAGGTAATGAGATAATTAAGTGAATAATTGAGTGCTGATTGAGCATTATTGAAGACACCTGATGATTAACAGCAGAATCACTGAAGGAGAATGTCACATGTTTAAAGTCACCATTATGGAGATCAGTGTCTGCTTTAGTTGGGCTCTTGACTCTTAAATCATTAACTGTAGATGTTGTTTGGCTGCTGTACATGAGATATAACAGCCAGATGAACAACAAGGAAAGCTGATGCGCTGAGGTTGGTTATGTTTTGACAATCATCATTTGTCAGGAAACTCATTTGCAGAGTTTAACCTTTTTGATTACACAGTATAACATTTTCAAAAATGTAAATATTATCCAAAAGATTTCTTAAAAGCTGTTCTATTCTAAATACTTTATGGGCACACACAGACATCAAGAATCAGCCTGTGATTCTCAACAATGGTGACAATTATAAAGCATGTTGCAGTTCATTCTGGGGGCCACCAATCAAAACTCATTCATGGATCCCATCATGCATTGCGGTATGAATAAATAATGATCTGAATTGTCTTAGTAATTTCCTTTACCTATTTGAATATTCTGCTTGTAACCATTGTTGAGATTCATACACTGAATCTTGATGTCTGTGCGTGCCTAAAAGAAAGATTTTTATTTTTCAGAACAACGTTTCAGATATCATTTGGTTTATTTTGAAAAATCTGGATCTAATATTATAAAATCACAGTGATGCTGTTATGATCATTGTACTTTTAAATCAGAGAGTAGGCTTTAAATGAGTTCAGTGATTCAGATCTAATGATGATTATGTCCTACCATGATCTTGAACATCTGATCTGATCTCTTTGTTCGTCCGGCTGTTAAAACAGCTAAACAAAATCTCTAGTAAAGCATTTAAAGGTCACCTGCCCAACTAAAGCAAACACTGATCACCATAACGGTGACTAAAAATATAGATTTTCTCCTTCAGTGATTCTGCTAGTTAACATCAGGTGTCTTCAATAATATCCCAATCATCACTCAATTATTCACTTAATTATCTCATTAACTTTAACACTCTTGAGTCTGGATCCAAAGAAACTCCCAGTAAAGTTCATTTAACACTGGAGTTTTTGCTGTGGGTGGAATAAACTTATGGCAGGACTTTTACTTTCTGACCCCTGGACACACAACCAATAATGTGATGTCCACGTATGTGGACAACCAGGTCTTAGGAGGTTAAGGGACAAATTCGCTATTTTACACTCAATGCCCTGTTTTAAGATAGTTTCTGATGAAATAAAATGGTTAAGATTGAAATTTGGACACCCCGCCCCTGCCAACACCTCTGATAAGCTCACACAAAAAAACACTGCGAAAGATGCTTTCCAACAGGTTTTATCATAACGTTTTTGTCCAAGTCAAGTCAATGGAGTTGGAAAAAAACAACAATGAACCCTGTTGGAAAGCATCTTTTGCTGCGATTTTTGTGATTGCACAAATATAATATACTTGTGTGTTTTCTTTCTCATCTGTTCACATTGACTATAAATGCCGTGTGACGGATTAATGTCTCTCCGCAGCTCTGAGCTCCGCAGTGAATTCCCGTGTATTTTACGTTATTCCTGAGAGAATGAGCTGGACGGATGCACAGACGTACTGCAGACAGAAACACGCTGATCTCGCCACCATTGACGACCAGGTGGAACATGCTGAGCTGGTGAAAACTTTCTCCAACTTTACAGAAGACATGTGGATTGGGCTCTATCGGACGTCAGGGACTTCTCCCTGGATCTGGTCCGATCAGAGCGAATCCGGGTTCAGATTTTGGGCTAGCAGACAGCCAAACAATTTAGGTGGAAAACAGTTCTGTGTGCACACTTTACCTGATGGATCCTGGAACGACTTTGATTGTCTGGAAAAAAAGGCATTTATATGCTATGGTAAGTTGTTTGCAATTTAACTTAAATGCTCATCGGATTGATTAAATAAAATAAAACATAACAAAAATGACCAAATATAGCGATCACTGCATTAACTCATGTTAACCGGTTTAATTAGTAAATATTAGAAATGAACATGAAAAATGCAACGAACTAATTTGAACAAACGAGACTTTACTGTAGTGCTTTAAGGAAACTAGCTTGTCATTTTCACTTCTTTAACCTGAGAACTTCATCATGTGTGTTTCTAACACAGAAATGAAGAGACAGATTGTGCGATTGGAGGTGAAATCAAGTCCAAATTTGATTTTGAATGATCCCGAAGTGAAGAAAGAGATTTTATTGAAGGTTAGTTCAATATACTAAACATTGAAAATATATTGAAGAGTTACCAAGAGGCTTGTGTGATAATGCGGTGTGTTCTTCAGATAGAGCAGATACTGAAAGAGAAAGGACTGACAGAAGAAGCCAAACTGTCATGGAAAGTGATTTCTGGAGAAAATGTCTTTCAGAGAACGTGTTGTCAGAAGAATGACGTTTCTAAGACGCCTTGCGGCACGAACTGACCGTCCTTAGCAAGAGCTGGGTTGCTAAAGCTGCAAATAATTTGTATGTTTTGTATAACAATAAATCATCCTGACATCTTACACTGATGGTATAGCCACACTATAAATGTGTTTGCATTGCTAGTTGAGTTTTCTGAACTCAAACAAACAAACTGCAATATAAATGTACATACTTCTTTTGAAATGTTGGTGCTTAATGTAAAAAAAAAAATAAAAAAATCACGTTCTGGCTACTGTAGGCCACCCGGGCACCATAAAGATTGTATCAAAGAATTTGCGGACTTTCTATCAGAGTTAGTCCTGGCTGTAGATAAAGTACTAATAGTTGGTGACTTCTACATGTAGATTATGAAAAAGATGATTGGGATTTACATTTAAAGGTCCCCTGACATGTTTTTTTTTTATTATTATTATTTTATAATGTTTCCTGGGTTGCCCTTATAATGTTAGTATGTTTTTTAAAAGATCAAAAATAGTCATAATTTAGAAATAAAAGGCATTTTTCCTAGCCTGACTTTAGCCTCTGCTTATAACGGTCTGTTTGAAGGGGCGTGTCTGCTGTGGGATTCAGTGTAACCGCCCACTGCTGTGATTGGCTGACATGCTTGCATATGAAATAGCTACATATTACATGTGAAACTCTCTTGAATACGTTTTACTACAGCTATTATACACTGTAAAAATGAATATGCTTTATCTAATCAATAAAATTGTGGCAACAGATTACAAGCAATATTATTTATTAAATTGAACAAATTAGAATTGGGTAATAGTTAATCAAATTAATATTCTAATTAATTTTAATTTGTACAATTTAATTAATAATATTGCTTGTAATATGAAGAATTCAGATGCAAAAGCCTCTAAGTGCCATTTGAAATTTTCTTCTTTAATGATAATTTTTATCAAGCTTGTATATTTAAGTTCAGTAATTTCACTTAAATGGCAATGATAATTACCTATTAATTGTTATTTAAGTGAAATTACTGAACTTAAATATACAAATTTGATAAAAATCATCATTAAAGAAGAAAATTTCAAGTGGCATTTAGAGGCTTTTGCATCTGAACTCTTCATATGTTGCCACAATTTTATTGATTAGATAAAGCATATTATTTTTTTCAGTGTACGTTTTTTACTATTACAGATATCGAGATTACTGAATAGGCGTAATTTGCGGGTGGGACATGTCCCCACCGCTTTTAGCCAGGGTCGATATTGTCCCCACCACTTTTGAAACATCTCTCGCGGCACGGATGAAAATTATACAAATAAATAAATCATCTCTAGTTAACTAGCGGAGCATTCATTTAGTTCGTTTCTTAGCGCTGAAATGCGTTGCTTTTGAAAACAAGTGATCTCGTTGCCGCTGCGATCAGTGGCGTGGATACAGTTCTCTTGTGTCTTCACACGGACTCGCGCTTTAATCCGTTGTGGAGACTATATTCGATCCGGTGAAATCACAAAGTAAAATGCACACAAACATACAACTGATAAACATAATCGGTTTTAATCAGAGAGAGAAAAAAAATGATACGAGTGCGGATTAGACCCCAGAACCTCTGTCACGCTTGGCAAAAGTTCTGCCACTGGACTAATGAAATACTTGCGCGTCGTTGTCAGATCCCTGTATTTCGTCACGTGAAAATCCTAGCCACAAACACATATTACATCTGCCCGATACAAGCCCGAAACTCGTCCGCTCTCGTCGAGGTAACCCAGACAGCAAACTGACATTGAATCAACGTGGAAACGACGTCTCTCATGACATCGAAACAACGTTGATTTTGCGCATCGAATTAATGTTGAACCAACGTCAGACGCGGCATTCTTCAAAGCTAAATGAAAATCGAAAATTGGTTTGCTTTCATAACGTTGAAACAACGCGTTGATTTCAAGTTGATTTTCCGTTAGTTTTGAAAGAATGACGCATCTATTAATCAACGTTAATTCGATGAGCAAAACAATGTCAGATCAACGTTGTTTCGATTTCATATTTCCACGTTGATTCAATGTCATCTTTCCGATAATAATTATCTGTTGAATACTCCTGACCGCTGGAAAAAAGTGTAAGTCTGGCACAGTAACCTGTTGAAAATATATAGCTCTTGTTAATGTGATAAACTTTTGTGACTCTTTTTCAGAATCTTCTCCTTTCTTTAAGCACGAGTGGGAAAACTTTAGTTTTCTTTCTCGAGAAAAAGTCGACGGGCGAATTAAAAACGTTCCCGGTCACACTTCTGTCATGTCGACGTGGGAACCTCATGTCCCGTTAAACACAACACCTATCGAGTCAATCCTTTTAAAAGAGATTTGCTGAAACAAGAGGTGATCTATCCGCTTGCTCATAATCTAGTTTCGTTCATGGAGTTCTCCTTATGTTTTAGTAAATAAACCTGCGATTCTGCACAGATTATCGGAAACTTATCTCTGTGACATTTGACTACTTATGGGGGCATTGGCAGGTGCCTTTGATTATAGTCATGCGAAGGAATTATCTGCCTTGGTTATGCCTGATGCTTTCTGCAGTATACGGTCCTTTCGGAGTTCGAAATGCACCCGCAACTTTCTACTAGTAGTAGTAGTAGGCATGCGTCTGTCAAGAATCACAATGCTTGGGTATTTCACATTAGTCCATGTTGGTTAACTTCATCGGTCTTTCCCTCAACTTTAGAAGGTTGTTGGCGTGGTCTAGTTGTCTTCCTTTGTGAAGTTGAGCCCTCCACTGATCCCGATTCCTTGATGCTACGGTCCATGATTCAGGTTGAATGCCAAAGTCCACAAGATCTCGCCTGAGTACATCTTTAAAGCGAAGCTTTGATCTACCAGTTCCCTCTTCCAGAACGCCATGGAGGATTGAATGAGGGATGCGGGAAGGTGGCATTCTGTTTACATCTCCTGCCCATCTAAGACAAATAAATTTGAGCCTAGATGATAGAGGTCCTGAATTAGTTATCTTAAAGGGTTAGTTCACCCAAAAATGAAAATTCTGTCAGTATTTACTCACCCTCATGTTGTTCCAACCCCGTAAGACCTTCGTTCATCTTCGCAACACAAATTAAGATATTTAAGATATTAAGATCGCTCCTACATACAGTCCATAGGCTTCTTGAGGGAATAACTCTTGCTGTCCTCGAAAAGTCATTAAAGACATCGTTAAAATAGTCCAAGTGACTCAAACGACGAGAACACTTTTTGTGCGCAAAAACAAACAAAAATAACGACTTTATTTCAACTATTCACTTCCTTCTCCATGGGCCTGTAGTCAGTTAACGTAGTGTGATTGTGTAAAGCTACGTCACACGTAGGCTCACTATTGGCCGACGCTGGTCATGTGTGTGATGCGTGTGATGTACAATAACAGAAGCTTACGCTATTAAACTAGTAACCTGACTCGCGCAGAGGGAGAAATAAACGAATAGTTGAAATAAAGTCGTTATTTTTGTTGTTTTTTTGCACACAAAAAGTGTTCTCGTCGTTTGATAAAGTTAAGATTGAGCCACTGTAGTCACTTGGACTATTTTAACGATGTCTTTAATGACTTTTCGAGGACAGCAAGAGTCATTCCCTCAAGAAGCCTATGGACTAGTATGCAGGAGCGATCTTAATATCTTAAATATCTTAATTTGTGTTGAAGATGAACGAAGGTCTTACGGGGTTGGAACAACATGAGGGTGAGTAAATACTGACAGAATTTTCATTTTTGGGTGAACTAACCCTTTAAAGAGTTCCTCGTTTGTCATCTTGTCTTCCCAGGTTTTTCCTATGATGAACCGCAGGTTTCTGGTGTGAAGTCTACTTTCTTGTGGGCGATAGGTTGGCCAGCTTTCTGCTCCGTAGAGGAGAATGCTCAGGACACAGGCTTCATAGATTCTGACTTTAGTTCGGACAGACAGGTACTTATTCCGCCAAACTCGTTTAGTGAGTCTTCCGAAGGTAGAAGCTGCTTTACCAACTTTTTTTGCAACTTTCCAGCGACTCGTAAAGCGTACACTGTGTGGAATGTCAGGATGTCTGAACATCTTGACCAGATTAAAGAACTTTTTTCTCGTTTAGCAAAAGCTAATCTTACAGATAATCTCGCCAAGTCTGAATTCGCGAAGGCTACTGTTACCTATTTAGGTAAGGTAGTGGGAAATGGTTGAGACCATTGAGACTAAGGTACTTTCCCATTTGTGCCCCTGTTTTGATAGCTCCGAAATTTGAAAAGTCTTTCAGTCTTGCAATCGATGCAAGTGCTTACCGTGCAAGTGTGGGCGCTGTTCTCTTGCAGGGGGATTCGAACCAGGTTCAACATCCTGCGAGTTACTTCAAAAAATGTAATCGACATCAACAGGTATATTCCACCATTGAGAAAGAAGCTCTTGCCCTAGTTTTGGCCGTACAACATTTTGAGATATATCTAGGGTCACCGATTATCATTTATACGGATCATAAACCGTTAGTCTTCTTGAATTGGATGAGGAATCGAACTCAGCGACTTATGCAATGGAGTCTCATTCTACAACCATTCCGTCTCGAGATCTTGTACGGTTGAAACGAGCTGGCCGTAACAGACGTATGCTCCCATTTTAAACATTTGGGGGAAACTGATCATTTCCAAAGTCAGTGAAACTCACCTGATTACAGCACAAAGATCGAATCAATCCTCACAAGCCCAGATGATCACACTGATGCACAACTGCTCTTTTCAGGGACAAGCCTGTGGAATTATTTCGCTTCCTGATTATGGTTTGTGTTTTCCTGGGTAACCACTAGAGGTCCTCATTTTCCATGGTGTCATTTACTCATACTACATTTCCAGTTGATCATTGTTCACTGCACAATTACTCACCTTGTTAGTGTCTGTGTATAAATATATAACCTGTCTGTTTCAGTGTTTGTCACGGAGTCCTTGTTTTACGTCACCACACTTCCGATGTCTCTATCTGCCTGGTTCTTATTTGTTTGTAGTGTTTTGGATTGCCTTGTTGGATATTTGTCCTGGTTGTGAGTACGGATTACCCAAATAAATAACTGCACTTGGATCTGTCTGTTCCTGTGTGTGTGTGCATCGTGATAGATTTGGTGTTTGA